CATCTGTGATGATTCTATTTGAACTATTTTCTGGCCAGGAACAATAGTAGTTTTCGTGAACCAGCTGTCCTTGGGGAGAAGAGATGTTTGGACTCTTTACAGAAATTGCAGAGTAATGAAAAGAAGCTTATGAAGGAGGCTACTGCTTTTAAAGAAGCCAAGTTTTGCTGAGAATAACTGAGTGAAGTCCAACTTCCAGTTTTTCTAGATTAACAAAAAAATGAAAATCTAGATCACTGCTAAATGTGGCTTAGCTGCTAACTGAAAAGCAAGGAATTGTTTAAATCTATTTAAACTAAAGCATTTGCTAGGAAAGCCAACAAGATATGGCTAAGCATCCAGTGCGCATTTGGCTTCTTCTCTTCCCTACTCACATGCAATTTTGTGGCCACTTAGCTAGGGAAATGGCAAAAGAAGAAGATATAGGACTATATCATCTGAAAAGTCAGAAAGCAAACACTGCAATGGAAAATCATGAGCAGTGGATAAGCATTTCTCAGAATACATAGTTGAGAGGTGATCATTCACATGCACCCAAGAGGTGTTTGATCAAAAAAAAAACCAAAAACAAAAACCTTTGCAAAATGCTAGGCCATAACTGCAGGACTTCTCAGATGCATGAATGTGAAAACTAGCTTGGAACTTTAAAGGGCTTTCTTTCTTTTAAAGATTTATTTATTTATTTATACAAGCACTGGGTACAGTCAGATGCGCGGGAGGGTGAGAGAATTCACCAGAGCCAGAGCAGGGAACAGAACAGGCAGACTGATGAAATACACTGCTGAGGGGAGCAGCAGGCATGACAGGAGAGATCTGTTGCGCCATGTGGGACCCTCGCCGTTTGGCCGAGGATCGAACTGGCACTGCAGAGGCTGTGAGCAGCTTTGTAGCCCAGCGCTCAACCGCTGATCCACCAGGGGAGGCCCTCTAAAGGGCTTCCAATGCACAGTATTGTCAGAGCATTTTGTAGAACCAGTGTTCCATAGACCAAATCTGGGGAGAGTTCATTGAACAAGGTTAGCTTATAATTAGACTTTTTAAAAAATTGAGGTAACGTTTGTTCACAACACTGTGCATGATTTAAGGGAATAGGTTATACCTCTTCAGATGTATGTCACCACACACATCCATCACCAAGATAACCGTAATCTTCCACCATAGATCCTCCCCATTCTGTCACTCATCTCTACCCTTCCCTTACATAGCCTCCATTCTACCATTGTATTTTAAGGGTATGTTTTGGTTTACTTTTGCCTGTTCCTTTGTTTGTATCCTTATATTCCACATATGAGTGAAATCATCCAGTATTTGTCTTTCTCCTTCTGACTTATTTCACTTAGGATAATCTCCTGTAGTCCTATCCATGTTGTCACAAATGCCATAATTTCATCTTTCATATAGCCAAGTAGTATTTCATTGTGTATATATACCATGTCCTCTTTATTTACTCATTTGTTGTTGGACACTTGGGTTGTTTCCATAGGTTGGCTATTTAAATAGTGCTGCAGTGGACACAGTGCATATAGCCCTTTAAATTAGTGTTTTTGCATGGTTTGGATAAATACCAAGGAGTGGAATTGCTGGATCATATGATAGGTCTAGTGTTAATATTTTGAGGAAACTCAATACCATTTTCCATAGGGACTGACCAGGCTGTGTTCCCACCAGTAGTGTAGCAGGGTTCCTTTTCCTTTTAGCCATACCCTTAATAAAAATGGTTGTTTCTGTGGGGTATTTTTTTCCCATATGAACCATTCTCATAGGAGTGAGGTAGTATTGCATCATGGTTTTGATTTGCATTTCCCCAATGAAAAGTGATGTTGAACATTTTTTCATATATAATTGAGCATTTTTAAAGGAGGCTGGCTAAGTAACATGAGAAACAGAACTAAGGAGGAAGGCAAAAGAAATTTGTCTCCAGGCCCCTTATTTGTCTTTCTTCACATCAGGGATTTCTCAATAGGAATATCCCACCCCTAACGGACACCTCCTACCCCAAATAATGGTCCCTTAATCTCTCCCTTCTTCATCCCTTATGTCCCATTCTCTCTGAGCTCTGTTGAGAAACAAGATTCACCCATTTTTGTGATGATGAGCTAACCCCTCCCAAAGTACCAGTTTAAAGAGGATTATGGAGTGGTCAACTTGACCCAAAAGAATGGATTTTAATTGAATTATCAGGCTGGTGACAGTAGTTTTTAATATATATATTTTTAAAAACCTCTCTGTACTTAGTGAGAGAAGTCTACTTCATGGTCCTGGAATTAAGATTCAAAAGTGTTAGCTGGTGAAGAAATGACTCTATCTTCATCTGTTTTATTCTGTCAAGTTTGATGGACAGGTGTAGCATACTACAATTGGTCCCCCAAGCTGTCAGCAAGTTCTCTTCAAAGGGGACCCTGGGAAATACCTGCTATAATTCCAAGGAATATCTTACAAGCAGAAGATCATTTTTAGCATTTTGGGATAAAGATCAGTTCTGTCCCCATACATGGTCTGTGAAATTTCTGAATCAAATTCCTTTCTATTTTTTAGCCTTTGAAATACCCTTGTTTTGGCTTTAACAGTACATTTCTCATGAAGTATATAATCAACAGCAATACAGAAAGTAAACAGTATAAGTATTACTGTATGAACAGTTTTGAATCCTTTTTTATAATTTTCTATAAAATATAACAAGGAAAAAAAGATTTTTTAAAACAATTTATGAACAGAACGTGGCCAGCATCTATATAACATTTAATACCCTTGATCTGAGTGTCTAATATACAACAGTTTAATAGTGATTTGCTGAATTGAATATACCAGTTGTATTACACAGGATGTTTTTCCTTGTTGCTATTATTTCAGATTCTCTCTCACTTAACATGGTGGCTCACAATAAATCTACACATTTTCTTCCCTGTTATTTGCCAACTAAATGTGAGCAAATTGTATTGTCATAAAATAATTTTAATCAAAGCTTTTCAATTTTTGAAAGCTTTTTTTTTTTTAAGGTGTTGGGATTTATAAAACCATTTGACATTCTCTGCCTAAGGCAACATGTAACAATCTAATTCTTCATCATTTATTAGGTTTCCAGTCACTAACATAACCCCAAATCAAATACAAATAAGCCATAGAGAAAGGTAATATTTCACATGACTTCAGAGTTGGACCACCTCTGGGGTTGGTACATTTATTGGCTCACCAGCTGGCTCAAACTGGTAGCAACTGCTACAGCCTTTGTGGCCAGAGAGGCAGCTTTCCAAAGGAAGGAGGGGGATGGAGGACAGTCTCTTACCATGACTCTCCAAGGAGCAAGGAATTGTCCCAAAAGCTGCAGGTTTCCCTCTGATTTGGCCAGAGTTAGGACATACCTACTCTTGGGGTCAGTCACTCGCAAGGGCAATCAGATTACTATGACCGCCTGGGCCAATCAGAATCCACTCCTGGACTCGGGGGTGGGTGAGCTTGCCTAGGAACACCTGCTGCACGCAAGTGAGGGCAAAACCCATACCAGACAAGTTCCAGGCAGGAAACAGATGGTTCAGGACAATTGGGTAACCAGAGGAGTGTTTGACAGTGGGAGTATTTACGAAAGTATGAAAAAGATATAGGAAAACCACCCAAAAATACCATAGCACCCAATCTCCCTCTTAGGGCTAGTAACAATGGACATACCATAACTCCCTGTATTTATTTCCCTGTGATTACATTACAAATTACTACCAATAGGGTGGCTTAAAACAACAGAAGTTTATTCTCCCACAATTCCAGAGGCTGGAAGTCAGAAACTCCCGCTAGGAACTTTCAGGAAAATCCATTTCTTCCCCTCTTCCAGGCTCTGGTCATCCCTGATTGGTGGCTACCACTGCAATTCTGCCTCCCCTAGTCACATTGCCACCTTCTTTTCCATTGAGTCTCCCTTTGTCTCTCTCTCTCTTATGAGGACACTTGTCATTGGATTTAGGGCCCACCTAGATAACCTAGAGTTAGCTCGTTATCCTTAATTACATCTGCAGAGGCCCATTTTCCAAATGGGGCCACATTTACAGATTCAGGGCTTAGGATGTGGACATGTCTTTTGTCCCACCCCCATTCAGCCCACCGCACCATCCAAGGCTGGGGAGAGGAAACCAGAGACACAGAAAGCTGTGTAGAGAGGACCTTTTGAAGGAGCCACAACCTTCAAAAGAGACACAGCTAACCCACTGGGAGGAAACCGGGAGAATCAATACTAGGCCTTATGCTCCTGTCTCCCTTTGATCTCCTGCCTCTATTAGCTGAATCCAACTAGAGCTTTTAACGTCATACATAAAGGTGGGCCTCCCGGGGCTCAAAGTGAGGAAGAGGGAAGCAGGAAGAGGGTCTAGAAGGGCAAATGGAAGATATGGAGTATGATACAGATAAAATTGAAGTGCTTGAGGAATGAAGAAGGGGGAAATGGATGCTTTTAGAGAGTAACAGTCATCTCCAAGCCCCCACCTCATTGGCCCACAGCTCACTGACCTGACACTTCCAATACCACAACCAGTTTAAATAGAACCAGAGCTACCATTTAAGTAAACACTTCTGGTCCTTTCTATTTACAAAAGCAAGGCATGTTTATGATAGAAAATTGGGAACATACAGAAAAACAAGGAAAATAGATATTACCCACTTGCCCTACACAGAGCTAACCAGTGCTGATGTGTTAGTGTCCTTTCAGTATACCACAGCTCCAGTGTGTGTTCAACGAAGAAAGTGGAATCTCCATGCATTGTTTATAAACTCACAGCTTTTCAATTTCAAATGTATTGATAGAATTTCCCCATATACTTCAGTAGTGTTAAAGAACAGTATGGGCTTTTTAAAAATAGTGTGGTTTTTAATGGCTTTGTGGTATTCTATTACATGGCTACACTATACTTGTCTAGGGCTTCAGGTTTTGAAACTCCCCAGGTCCCCACGGCCACACTGGCCCCTGAGAGCTCAAACCGTCAGCAGTGAATCGTGTCTTGTCACCTTTTCAGCCCTGCCCTGCCTCTGCAGATCAGGATGCAGTCTACACCCCATGACTGGCTTCCAATCCAAGGCACCATGAACAGGTACCTGGGCTGGGGCTGGGGCTGGGGCTGGGTTGCTACTTAGCTTTGAACTTTATTGAACTCTGTAGAATAAATGAAATGGCCAGGCTTTTACGCCCCTGGCCTCTGTGGCTATCACCTGTGGCCTTGATTGCAGCAGACACTTGGGAGCATGTGCTCAGTGTACGTATGCCTGATGGTGGACACCTGGAACATGGTGTGGGCATGCAAAAGTGGCCACACCTGAGCCTGGAGGCTTAGTATGTAAGGGCGGCAGAAAACGGAAGGACAGCTATGAGGGCAAGGATGGCTATGAGAGGAAGAGAACACCAGAGAAGGCCCAAAGAGAAAAGCATCAGATTCGCTAGAGGGTGGGAGGCCTGCCAGCCTCCTGGCCCCCTCAGCACCCCTGCCCGCCCTGCCGCCTGTCTGTACTACAAAATCCTTTTTCTCTTTTGCCCTGACTATCCTGAATTACTCCTCCAGAGGTTTTCATGCACCCCTTCCTGTGGCATCCCTTAACCAGGTAAACTTTGGGACTCCCCTTTTATCTCCACACTTCTCCCCACCTTTGCCAACTTCTCTGTTAGCTGTACTGCCAAAGAACCCAAACAGTCTCCATATACTAAGGTGTTCTCAGATTAATATTACCTTCTCCTGGTGTTTTGCAGCTGGCAGGAAGAGTTTAATATCCCAGACTTCATTTCATGAATTTGGGAGAGAGGCAAGGAACCCATATCCCTCTGCACTGGTGAAGTCCTAGGCTCTTTAGACTGAGAACTGTCCCAAACATCATTCCTTGAATATAGGGACAGATATGTGCCTGAGACCTGTCCAGGAGGCCTGAGAGGCCAAAGGTGGGGGTGAATTCCTGGTTCCCCCACCACCAGGCACCTTCAGCTTCTGTCCCCCACACTTTGTAGTGATGCTGCAGGCCATGGTGCAGCTCCATCAGGATGCAGCAGCACTTGCTCTGTTCCCAAAGGTGTTCACAGCGGGCCTCATAAAGAGCTCAGGTTTCAGAGTCTTCTCAGAAAGTTTGAACAAACTCAAGACCTTGCACAGCTGGGAGTCATTAACTAGGAATCAAAGAGCAGAATCAAGGAGAGGCGGGGCCTCAACATACTCAGCCCCCAAGAGTTGACGAATCAGCTTCAGGCAGAGTTAAGGGCCCCCAGCTGGATGTCAACATATGCGCGAAGCAGCTCAGGGCCAGGGGGTCGTCGCAGTCTTCCATCTTCAGAATAGGTGACCCTGAAGAGATGGAGCAATTTGCCCCGACTCTTCTCTTTATCCCTTTGGTATTTACCAGTCCTTAGACTAGAGTCAAGCTCATTACCTTCGCTAAATCTCTCGGGTCTTTCAAAAGGTCAAGAGAAAGCTGACCCTTGCAAAAGCAGGACAGGTCAGGAGGGCCCATTTGGAATCAATGCTTCAGGCCAGCAGCCAAAGTGCACATTCTATTTCCCGGGGCTTTTATGTGGGCCTGTAAAGAGTTCAGCTGACACATAGCCTTCAGTTAGGCCTATTTGTATTATTAAGAAAACTAGGTGACTCTTGACTCAGTTGACGTTTTCATGTTGCCTGACTGGAAGCTATTATAGTTCCACGTTCTCTTAGGAATAGTCCCCCAGAGACCTCAGCTGGCAGACGTCCGTCCCCTCTGTGTCTGCCTCCTCTTCTACCCTCCCCAGCAGCTCCCTCTCACACCCCAGAGACTGCCCTGTCCCAGCATCTTTCCAGAAAAACCTTCTCAGCAGCCTGCCCCTCCCCTGCACGAGGATTTCCCTGGAGTCCAGCCTACATGAAGTTGCTAACTGCCCCTTTTTCTCCTTGCCAGGAATCATTAGAGCCCCTTAAGCTCAGAAAGCAGCTGCAAGCAGCTCCTCTTTGTGCCCCCTCATGAGGGAGAAGCAGGAGGGCCAAGAATGTACTGTTACAGACCAGACTTCCTGCCTCAGGTGCCCTCTGACCTTCAGTAATTGCAGCTTCGGAAGTGGTTGGCTCCCCATCTAGAAAATGGAGATAATGAGCCTCAACTTCTTGGGGCTATTGAAGATTTAATTGATTCATGGTGGTGAAGCAGTTGGCAATCCTCACCCGGAATTCCGTGGAGGCTGCTCTGGCAACAAGGTAAGGGGGGGCTGAAGTGGCCCCCATGCAGCAGTCCTGAAGTGGGGGAGCCAGCTAACTGCCCACCTCTCTCAGCCCATGAACCCCCCCCCACCCCAAAATTCTTCAAATTGTTTCTAAGTGTCCTACTACCAGAACCCCTCTGTCTGGCCAGGGTGGTCTATTTCTGGCCCTTTCATCCTACCCCTTCCCCCACCTGAAATGCCCTCTCCACATTTCCCTGTCTAGTTAATTCAAATCATGCCCTGCTGAAATCCCACCTTGCTTGCAGTCCTTACTGCTTATGCCATAAGTCCTACTTGATTCCTTTTTTGTGAAGTTCTATAGGCTAGGCTTCTCACAATCTAAAGAGTATGAAATACGCATCCTGATTCAGTAGGTCTGGGTGGGACCTGCATTTGTATTAAGAACTGTGTCAAGAGCCCCGATGGTCTAAATAACACAGTTAGAGGGCCAGGTTGTGGATCTTATGCCCTGCACCAGAGGTTTTCAAACCTCTTTTTAATATAGGCACAGGCTTTATTTTTTTTCCGAAATGAGATCAGAATTTCATGAATTCAAACTTATGGGTTCAAAGTTACATTTACTTTTAAAGTCCATCAATTTGGCTGTTTGGCAAATACGAGACATGAGATTTGAGTGTTGTGGATGACAGCTGTAGTCTTGTATCACCTTCAGCTTCCAAATTTATTTCTGCATTTTATTGAAAAAGGCATGATACATACAGGCAAGTAGTTAGAAATGGTTAAATTTTTTAAAAAGTTGTCAGAAATGGTTAAATTGGAAAAAAAAAAACCGCTCATCAAAATCTTCAGCTATTCAGCATGGTAGGTAATCTTGTTAAGAAATTATTCTCCTTTATAATCACTGTGCCAGAAAGATTTAGTCCAAGTTCACCACAATAGCATTTATTTGGCAGCACAAATTAATCTTTTGGTGAGTACAATGTGTTAAAATTTAGTGTGTAGTAATTTTCAGGGTATCTGTTGTTTTATCACTATTTTAAAATTAAACTCAAATCAAGTAATCATATAGCCCTAGAGCAACTTTCTTGACCTTGATGCTATTGCCATTCTGGGCTAGATAATTCTTTATTGTGGGGAATATCCTGTGCCTCTAGGCTATTTGGCAGCACCCTTGCCCTCCACCCACTAGTCAGCAGCAGCACCCTCCCCCCAAAGTCTTCAGAATCAAAAATGTCTCTAGACACTGCCAAATGTCCGCAGGGGGTCAAAATCATTCCTCCATTTGAGGACCATTGCCCCAGAGACACTAGAATGTTGGAAAAACCTTTGTAAATGAATGGTTGATAGTATCTATGTAGCACTTGGCCTGCCAGCCCTCTGCTGTCCCATAGCCCCTGTCTCCACTCTTTGCGAAGCTCTAAACACCTTGGAGGGGGACCATGAATGAAACTTCAGCAAACACCCTATGAACAGTGACCCTATGTCAGTGGTGACCCCCAGCAGATGTTTGCTCATTGACTGATAGAAACATTAGGCTCTGCCTTGGCTGCCTCAAGTACATATTCTGAAGGATTCTGAGATGAGGTATGTGAACATGCTTTGAAAGCATGAACATGCAGTAAATGTATAGTGTTAATACTACCAAAGTGCATTTGTTCATCCAAATTTCTTATCAGCCTATCTTCCTCACCCCAGAAATAGGAACAATAAAAATTCTTTCCTGAAATTTTCTCTATTCTTTAAGAGTGCTATGGGTTCTACCATTATTAACTGTCTGGCTTTTAGCATATTACTTAATCCCTTTGAATCTCAATTTGTTCATCTGTAAACTAGAAATGATAATATTCATTTCATGAAACTGTTTTAAGAATAAAATGAGGTAATATAAGTAAAGTACTCAACCATCCAAAGAAGCAACAAGGGAAGCACTTAGTAAACATTAGTTGGATGTTCTGCCTTTGGAGTCTCTTTAAATATTCCCTCTCTAAAGAAGAGGAGATGTGACAAAGATAATATAAAACAGCAGATAAGCTAAATGCCTTTTCCATTTAGCTTCGGAAAGTGTCTTTCACTAATTCCACTCCTTTACTCACATATGCACACCTTCCCCCAGACACTCAGCCCCTCCTCTCCATCCTAGAACCAAAAAGAAAGTCATATTTCCCATTGTGCTTGTGCTATCTCTTGAAGCACCCTCATGCCTTCAGCACCCAAACCCGAACCCAAGGAGTATCACTTTTCCTTCTGGCTTCACTTCCACAACATAAATCACCCCACCTCCTGCGTTCCTTCCGTGTTAGCAAGGTCTTCACAGTCCTGCCTAAACAGGAGGGCTTGGATATTTTTCCCACTGTCCAATTGCAGCCCTTTTAAAATCATTCTCCAGTGTGTTTCTAAGCTGACATCTCTTTGCTCAACAACATTCAGTGATTGCTCACAGCTTAGAAAGATCATGTTCAAGTACCGGGGCAAGACTCATTGTCCCTCCCTAGAACTTGCCCTCAGCATCATCCTCCGGTAACACCCTATCACTGTTGCAGTCCACACAAACCATGCTGTCTTCACATTTGGAATGTTTGACAGTCTTCCCTCTGCTTGACTTGTCTGTTCCCTCCTTGCTTGTTCACCTGAAATTTCGCTGGTCAAAGGCACCCCCATCTAGGTAATCAGTGGTACAGAATATAATCAAATAACATAGTTCTCCCTGTCCCGCATTCTTAAATATGTGAAAGGCTGGGTTGATACTTTTGCTTCATTTTTACAGTAAAAAATATGTAAAATAAAAATTTGAAAAAAAGAAATTTTATCACCAGAAAATTCTGCATATTTTATAGTAACATGTAAAAACAGGTTTCAAATGTAGGCATTGACTTTCTTGGGTACCCACTTTTGATGCTGCATTATCTCCTGTGATATTATGGGGTGTCTGTCCTCCACACTTCTGAGAAGCTTCTCAGTCTTCTCAGAAACCCTGTTAATGGTCTCATTTTTGGTTCCTATGAGACCCTGGCAATGCATCTTCTTTGGAATCCACAACTTACTCCTTCTCAGGGGAGAAGCCTTTCACTTGACCCAGGGACACACTTGGAAGACAATGCCATCTGCCCCAGGGCTCTGCCTCTGCTTTTCCCCTTCCTTCATTCTTCGAGCCCCATGTTTTTTTCTTTTCCTCCCTCATCCCATCTCTTGAGTTTTGTTTTTCATCTACTTTTATGTCTACCTGGAAAGACGAAAAGACTCCTTTTACCAGATGGATGTATAAACTTGTCACTAAGTAATGTTTATGGAGCATTTAATATACACAAGGGACTGTGCTAAGAGCTTCAAGCACATTAACTCATCCATTCCTCACAACAAGCCTGTGAAATAGGTACTTATGTTTCTCTTACTTTTATAGATGAGGAAATCCCAGCGCAGAGAGATGAAGGCATTTTCCCAAGGCCTCACAGCTAGCAAGGAGCAAAACCTAACATCTATATTTGACTCCAGGGTCCATACTGTCCTAACCCTAACAGTTTTGTGGATTGTATTTCAACTTCACACTCTACTGCCTACTGTCTGGGGGTTCCTGACTACTTCTCCTTCAAAGAAAAAAACAAAGAATAGAGGGGAATAAGGATATTTTAACTTTTCCTCTATGCTGCTTCTGCACATGCTTTTACCACTATATGTATCACACCAAATGGTGGAGCTTTTTTCCATCCTAGGTTATCACAGAGAATTTTGTCAAGGTAGAGAGATTTTTCTAGAAACAATCTAATCATAAAGTGATCTCTTACCAGCTCCTTCCACTACAGCGGTGATCTTGTTTCATCTCTTCCATAGGCCATTGGACTTAGAACATAGGACTGAAAGAGGCTGTAGGACGTGAAGACAGTGGAAAGGCTTCTGATGGAAGGACATGGCAAACAAGATAAAGGTACAGAAAAATGTTCAAGAAAATGCCTTTGCCTGTGGTGAACCACAGCCCTGTCTCCTCCTGTTGAACCAGAAAGCTTTCTGAATCTGAGGGTGGGCATGTTGTCAGATTGCAACAATCCTCATGGGTTAAAATAGTTTCTCAGTGAAAATGAAATAAAGCTTTCTGGACTCCAGTATAAAATATCTCCTGGGGCAGGAGTGGGGGGCAAGGTTGCCAGACCTAGGAGTGAGCAGATGAGAGCGGCGTGGGTGTGTGAATGTGCTGCTTGGCTTACGCCACCCAGCACATGTTGAGAGTGCGTGGTGGGATTTCTCAGCATCACCACATCCTGCTTGTTAGTGCACATAGGTCATGGTGCAGAGGAGCTTTTCAGTAGGGCTAGTCTGATAAAAGAAGGTTTCTAGGCCTTCTGAAAAAAAAATTCCCATCCCAGCTTCTAGGAAAGGGGTCAGAGAATAGTGCTAGAGAAAGAAGAAAGGCGGGTCAGGATGGGGAAGAGCAAGGGATACAAGACCAGAGCAAGGCTCCAAGCTACTTGTGCTTATGCCTTGAGTAATCATCTTCCAGCCTTGAGTAATCATCTGCTGGCGGAGATGCACAATTGCTAACTCAGCCTTTGTAAGAGAAAAGAGGACAGTCAGTTCATCAGGAAATTGACTGTTCAGTCAATGGGACATTGCATTGATGCATCTTGTGGTAAACAGACCTTTAGTGACCTGAATCTTCTCAGGTGGTGCAGACAACACCCAACTTACTGATCAGTCCTTCCTTGTATGACAGGCATCCAGGGACTGGCTGAATTAGTACCTCCAGTCATCTTCTCTGTGCACCAGTTGACACACGCCCTAATTTCTGGCTGACAGGAGAGCATTAAACCAGGTGCCAATCTCCTGTCATTATTTCCTCTGACCTGGAGAATGAGTCTCTGAGAAGGCCCTGGGGATGGAAGGGACAGAGACAGAAGCAGCCCAATGTCTTTTAGCCTATTAAATGGGCCTGCTCTCTCCAGTCCCCTTTGTATGATGATGGCAGGGGAGAAACAGCAGTGACACTCCACTGACAATTTCTTTACTCTTATAACTGACATGTGCCCCTACTGCACTGTGACCTTAAAATCTAAAGACTTTTACATTTGGGACTGTGGAAAATCTGGCTAAAATATACACAGCCCAATTCTCACCTTGTGCTGGGTCCCCAAACCACAAGGAGATATCATCTGATTCATTCTTTGTCACTCGAACTTTATTTCTGGTCTGCTCTAAATGTCTTCGGGGTGACTAATAGAATATAAGGATGCGTTTTAAAAGTTGAAGAAAATTGAAATGTGAAGAAATGATTTTGAGGTTGATAAAACTTCCTTCTGGATAAAGCTACCTTTTACTGCGGGCTGCTAAAAATATATCGTAAAGGAAAGATGTTAAGCCACATCCTGCTTGAGAAATATCCCTTAGTTTCTCTTTGGGGAGACATTTGAGAGCAGAGTGGAAGCAGCATTTTTATTTTCATTCCTTTTGCTGAGTGCATAACAGGAGGCTACTCAAAAATGCCCATGAAAGGCATCATCAAAACTTGCATGAAAGAGCAAATAAGAAGGGTCCTTGGACCTCAGTTTCCAGGAGAACCACTGAGAGAAATGTCTGAATTTGTAGAATTTCTGGCTTCTCTCCTGTTGCTGCTGTTGCCCTGAATATCCCACTACTAGCCAAAGGTGCAAGGGGGTATTTCTGAGATTTCCCTGCCACCTTTCTGCAATTCCCACCCCTCAGCTTCCCTTTTGCCTCTCAAGGCAGCAATGGTTGGTAATCACAAAAAGCTAGTGGAGTCAGCTCCTCACAAGTCCAATCACCAGTGTTGTAAGTTTGGTTTCCTAGGAAACAGATTGTGAGATGCATTTTTTTGTATGCAGGTGGATTATTGGGATGTGAGCTCTGGAAAAAAAATCTGTGAGGGAGTCTAGGGGACAGGATGACAGAGGGAGATGTGGAATTGTGATGTAGTCACAACAGAGGCCTCTGCTCTGAAGGGCTGGCCCTCCAGAAAGGTCCCAAATGGAGGCAAGAAGGCCGGGCCTTTGGACCCTCATGTTAACTAGAACCTGGCTAATCAGCAAGGGTATACTCTTCTGGGACCAGCAAGGTAATCCCCTTCAGCCAAGGGCAGTTCTTGGGCGCCAGGCCCCCAACAAAACAGCAGTACCCAGCAGCTGGAGGAGTGAGTGCCCATGTCCTGAAGAGGAATTCTAGGGAGTGCACCATGATGTATGCTACAGTCCACCTCTATGGGTTCGGATCTACTCAGTATAACAAATTCATCTGACTAGGAATATGTACCCCTGGATTCCTCAGTTCCCTGGGGAAACTTAAAATCAGGTTAATGACACAAACCACAGCCACAGTTGTTACAACTGAACTTGATGGTAACTGTCTACTCCGCATTCTCAATTTCCCCCAGCCTCCGCTGGCACTACTGCTGGCCAGTTGGGGAGGCAGGATCTTTATCCTTGAGGTTTATTTTTCTTTATTTACTTTTAAAATATATTTTATTTTTTTAATTGAGGTAACATTGGGTTACAATACTGTATGTGATTAACCTGAGGTTTCAGCATCCCTGGTTGCCATGCCCTCTCCATGCACTTGGTTTATCATCACAGTCATTGGTCATTTTGGCCGGGGAAGAATCCAGACATACCCAGCGAATTACCAGGAAGTCAAACAAAATATTCCCAGCCCTGCTGTGTAAAAGCAGTCCACTTTCCTCCTGATCAAGGCAAGTCGTTCCTACTTAGAGACTAATTCCTCTGCTTCCTCTACTTGGTCTGTTTGCTCAAGGAGCCCCCAGTGAGCAAGAACAAGCAGTAGTTATCATTGAGTGGGATGTTTTCTGTGACTCCTGGTAGTAGTTTCTCCCTCTGAGAACCAGAATCTCTAACATTGTAGACAGGTTTTCTGGAGTCAAAAGCATAAATATCCTGAGTGGGTTGCTGGGAATGATGGTATGCATTGTCTTTTGCTCCTACCTTCCCCCTGCCCCTTGACTCCTGGACCCGTGAATTATACTTACTGGGGACACATCCCTACTCAATGGTCATTTTTTAATGGTGCATACTGCATTCTGAACGATGGTATCCCTTCTAAGCTGGCACCGTAGCATCGATTCATTCCATTAATGAATCTGGCTGGCAATTTCTGGAGTAGTCTCTAATAGGATTAGTGGATCCAATGGTCATATGCCGATAGCATGCCTCACTGTCTGTAAAGTGAATCCCTTGCTCCTTTGTGATGCTGGAGTCTATGTTAGTAGAAGAAGCATTCTGGAAGCCCTTGGGTAATGGGGCTAGAAAGACAAATCAAACCCTATAATGTATGTGTCCGTTCTGGTCAAGAAGAATCACTGACACTTAGAGGATGGAAGGAGTCCAATATCACCAACACCACCAATTAGTTGAATGGTCTCCATGAGGAATGGCGCTCAATTAGGTGTTCCTGTTGCCAGTAGGTTAGACATACATCCATGACAGTAGATAGGTCAGCTCTGGTGAATAGATACCTATTACATTTTTTATTGTTAAATAATCTGTTTTTGTGTTTATATTAGTTTTAATGTTTTGGGTTTATGTTTTTGTTTTTGATTTTGTTTTTTGCTTTAGCATTTTGCAATTTTGTTGCAGTGACTGTTCTTCCCTACCCCACCTACCCGTTTTTTCAGACAGCATATCATAAGTGGCTTGTCACAGAAAGCTCCTGGGTTAGGTTGAGCCAAAGACTACAGAGTCTGCTGCCTCAAAGGCCCAGAATGCCTTCCTCCTTCCCTAACCCTCCTAAATAGTGATTCTCCAGATGTGTAATGTATTCATGTTGCTCTAATTCAGGGAGACCAAATTCTTTGTCAGCAGGGTATCCAAGTTCCTTTCTAGAATAAGGCCTGATATACTTTCTGTAATTTGTGTGTAAGTGGAATCCAAGAGGGAGTTTTCCCTTTGCATTCTGGATCCTGCCCTTGACTTTAAAGGCAAGTAAAAGAGAGCATTATTTGGGCAGTGAATCCAATGAGTAGCTCTCTATCAACCCCATCAAGTGGACGAGGGTATTTCAGGTTGTCCTACTACTCTTCAAATTTCTGCAGTTCAGCTGGGGAGGATTTTCCTTTAATATGTTTAAACCTCAGTTTCCTATTCTATAAAATGTTTTTATTTGGTCACTGTGGGAATTAAATGCTATGCTTAGCACAGTGCTTGGCACTTAGTACTTGCTCAATATATGGTCATTATTGGGGATAGTAATGGGCCTTCTGACCTCCTCTAAGCTTCATCTTAGTCACATCATCATCCAATTGAACAATGAATATACTTAGTAAATATTTGTGGCAGTCAATTGAGTAATTTCTGTGAGAGAAATCTGGTATCCCTGAAACATGCGCAGATCTGAATTTTCTGATGCAGTGCTGTGCCTGGGAGTTGTTAGCAAGTATCCTGCTCAAAGACAAATTCCATACAGAAGCAATAATTAATAGTGTTATTAATTGAATTTCTACCACAGTCTCATTGGTCTTATCAGCCTAGGTAGGTTTGTTTGCATGGCAAAAAGCCAGTCAGATTCAGTTTTATTCATAATTGCTAAAATGGAAGCAACTAAGATGCTCTTCAGTGGGTGAATGAATAAGTAAACTGCTATTTTTAAAAAAGCCGTCAAGCCATTAAAAGACATAGAGGAAATTTAAATGCATATCACTTAATAAAAGAAGTCAAACTGAAAAGGCTACATACTTTATGATTCCAACTACATGACAATTTGGAAGAGGCAAAACTATAGAGACAGTAAAAAGATCAGTGGTTGCTATGGAATGGAGGAGGGTGAACAGAAAGAGCACAGAGGATTTTTAGGAGGCTTAATCCATCTTTTTTGATACCACAATGGAGGATACTTGTCACCATGTATTTGTCCAATTCATAGAATATATAATACCGAAAGTGACCCTATAAACTATAGATTTTG